GAGAATGCTGGGCTGAACCCGATTGCTATTGTGACTGAGTTAAGGAACAGGCATGCACAGGGTGAGATCAATGCAGGCATCAACGTGAGGAAGGGACAGATAACAAATATTCTGGAGGAGAATGTGGTGCAGCCTCTACTGGTGAGCACGAGTGCGATTACCCTGTCTACGGAGTGCGTTCGCATGATTTTGAAGATTGACGACATTGTTACGGTGAGGTAGGGTTGATCTAAAAAATTTAGTGATGCTTCGGAAGAACTTGTTGGCGTTTTCCTTGTCTTTGCTTATTTGGTGTGTGTCCGTCTTGCTTTGATATCATGTTGTGGAGCTGTTTTTTGGAGTGGACTTGTTAATTTTGCTTCAACCAATGAATAGTGTTTTTTTTGGGTTTGTTGTATGCTTGATTTGAATATTGCTTTAACTAGTTGTCTAAATTCTTGTTTAGTTATGTAAGTGAATGGGGCAGTGCACAAATAAGTGAATGTGCAAGATATCCGAGGCCCTCCCTGCGCTCCTGCATTTCTTTAAAACTTGCTTGAAATTGGAATTATGCTTGTGTTGTGAGTTTTGTTTGTAAATGTTGTGTTTAAGTTTCCTGTATGGAACTTTTTTCGGTTTCAGGTAGTTAGTTATGTTTTGGGGTATATATAGTAGTAGCAGTAAACTCAACTGGCCATGACCATTCTTGAGTGTAGGTATATGAATATATCTATTCTATAAATATGTAGTCACTAGTCAGTGAAAAGGAAAGAGTCATTGTTGACAATTCTCCTGGCATAGTGCTAATAATGGACTAGATCAAAATGGCTCAATTAAATTCTAGCGCTTCTTCTATTAGTGAAGTTTCTAGAAAAAAAAATATATCAAATGATGCAATGCACCTTGGGTCGCTACGGAAACAACCTCCTTGTATAATTACAAGGATAAGGTCTGCGTACAACTCACCCCCCAGATCCCCAGTTGAGAATATACTGAGTTGAGAATATACTGGGTATGTTGTTGATGTTGTTGTTGTTGTTGTTGTTGTTGTTGTAGTCAGTGAAAAGGAGAAGGAGACGTACTGGCGCTGACCAACTAAACTTTTTAAGATAAGGAAAGAGACCTCATTAATGTCATATATTTTATTGTTTGTTCATCCACATATATTTGCTTAGGTTTCTTCCACAAGTTTTAGGCAGTAGCTGTGAGCTCTATCATTTGGAAGCTGATCATAATATACATCCAGAAGCTATTTTGGCAATTTACTTATATTCCCTAATTCGGTCTTTCTTTTGGTGTTATTTATTCAGTTGCCAAAGCTCCTTCTTGGTTTTCTAAATCAGACAATTAATAGCATTTGAATTTGAAATAAATACAAGGAAGATGTACATGATATGTTGATTGGTAAAACTTCTGAGACCTGCTCATTTTTCTTATGGGAATCATGTATGGTTTGTGCCTGTCAACTTGATGAGATGTGAGGCCCTTGTGAACAAAGACACCATAACATTATGGAATGTTGGTTCCGTCAAGGCATTCTTGATTATTGTTGTTATCCTGTAATAGATGTTTTGTCAAAGTCTCTTCAGTATCGTGAGTCTGATATCTCATCTCTGCTGTTTTTCCCCATAAGACTAGGTATAGCCCGATTATAATGAGTACAGCTCCTATGACCCTGCATTAGAATTCTCCTTTTTAGTTTCAAATTTTCTTTAGTTTTTGGAGATCGCCAAATTTGAATTTTCACTTTTAATTTGACCAACCACATACCCCCCGGAGAATAATTGATCGCCGAGTATTATGAATGCCATGCCAGCTACTAATACTGTCTGCACTGGCTGGAAACTAGCTACGAACACTGGGCCTCCTTTCTGAATGCACCAGGTCTGTAGTGATAGTACTAGACCTGAAGATATTACTCCCTGCTCACATTAATATGGTAGCTAAGTTATGGTTTTTATGTTTGTAAGATTAGCGGCATTCGAAAAAAGAAAAGAATTAATAGAAAATCGAGGTTTGAAGTTTTACAGCATATAAGATTGTTAGTATCTCTTCCCCAGACTGGATTTTCCAATGCTTTGGGTCCTTTTCTGCGAAAGCTGCTATTGCCAGGAACTGGATTAAGCCGAAAAATAATGTGAATGATGTGAGTGAGAGCTTTGCTGGGTACTTCTTCACTATAGGAGCCTGCATTTTAACATTACAAGTGTCATGACTCAGGTGGTTTGGCTTGTAATATTGGCAGCATTGAATATCTTGCACGTATATGCTTAAATTCAAGCTTTGTTGGTTAATTATTAGATTTGCTGCCACCAGAAAGTATGCTTGTTAGTTCGGGTGGTTCAGTTCTTGGAAAGCAAAAAAACTCTTCCGATTTACCCATTCTTAATGTAGTCAGTTGTGGGGGCATATGATATGGGTAGCGACTAGCGATATAGTTGAATGCTTCCTAATACTTTTAGGCAAATCTCTTACTACTATCAGATTAAGGAGAGATCCCAAGATATTAGTAAATCCCGAAGTTCGATAAACAAAGACCAATGACCAAATTTACTTGATGTGACTCACTAATATATTATGCCGTTGATGTTAAGCGTGTGGAAACAAAAATTTTACTATCAGCCCACCTGAAGGACCATCCATCCAGCCCAGGATAAGCAGTGACCTAGGAGAAATACACAACCCCATGTCCAGTTCTGCACTTTGTTCGATGGCATGACCACACTCTCTTCATATGAGTTACTCGTTTCTGATGCCTTGTTTAGTATGGGCGGACCTTTGTACAATGTAATAATTGTCGCACCTCCTACACTTGCTAGAGTCCCTAGGATCTTAGCCAACCCATCTATTCTCGCGATGTTCACTTGCTCCAGCCTGGAAAGCCGAGAAAAAACAAAAACAAAAAGCACCGTATGGAATAATGATTAGTTGCCAATGGTGCTGTTTTTGAGAAACAAGTATTTCGGTCCTTACCTTAGAGCCGAAGCCATAATGAAAGTAATTGCAGGCACTGAGTTCTGCATTGCTGATGCAAAAGTTGGAGATGCATAGTACAGGCCTAAAATGTAGAAGCCCTGGTTTGCAGTAATTCTGGGAATTAAGACAGAGATACAGTCGAGACAGAGACAAAACAAATGAAAGACATCAAAATTTGTCTTGAGGAAAGATAAAAGTAAAAAACCAAGTAAGTTATTATCGATTTATCTCGACTCCTCACCCCACTAGTGCTAGAAGGAAAAACTGGGCTAGTAAAGAGAATGTTAGAGGTGGCCTCTCTTTCCTGAAAATGAAGCCAACAAATGACGTTAATGTTTGTAAAATTAATAGGTAAAAGTTCTTTCGTGTAAAACCGATACAAAAAAATGCTCACTTCTCGATGAAATAGGCGAAGGGTCCCAATAGTAGGAGTGCGATAATATTTCTGTAAACAGGGTACACCACTTTGCTAACGCCGATGTTAAGCGCGACTCTGGAGACGATGTGAAATCCTGCAAAGCATAGTTGCAGAATGAGCAATGAAGTTACAAGTTTCACCCTCTCTGTGTTGATTTTTTCTTGAGCCATTTCTGTAAATGATGTAGTAAGTTAGAATTGATAGTCTAATTTACATTTGTATTTATAAGGAGAGAGTATGAATTTAATAGTGCATTATTTGATTAATAATATGATTATGGTTAGTTGCATCCAAGCATATATGCACATTTCACGGTGTGATCATTCAATTTTCTCATGATTATTGATCTATGAAAGATTATTTAAATTGTATTCGGTGTATCATGTGTTTGTATGCTTTTTTTTTTTTAAAAATTATTTTTATAATCTATTATATAAATCCTGTTTGATATGTTGACTTGAAATTGAACTTTGATAGGGAGACAAACCATCAGTTGTCCATGTTGAGGAGGTGGTTATGGCCTCAGCCAATCTCTGTTATTCAAATTAATTGTTGATTTGCCTAACAATCATTAATGACAAATTAGTTTATTAATCGTATGCAAATATTT